AATACCCAAAAAACAAAATGGTGGCTGAAATATGGCGAGCAAAAAAAAAAAAAAANAAAAAAAAAAAAAAAAAAAAAAAAAAAAAAAAAAAAAAAAAATAGTATGTTTGAATAATTAAATATAGCAGTGAAAATATAATAATTTTCGTAGTTTTATATTAAATATGAAAAGCAAATTATATTTCAGAAGTAATATTACAAAATAACGCGAAAACATGAAAAAAAAAACATCATAATTTTTCTTTTTCGGTAGATTTAGTTCACTTTTGCTATACGGGCGAATTAGGTAGGTTTTTTCGAAAGAAGAAATATCAAAGAAGATAACAAACAAAAAATCTAATTACCTCGTGGAACTTCTTGGAACTAAGTTTCGAAAGTCATTCAAACATTGTAAAATGTCAAATGAGGAGATATAAACTATAAGTTTGTCAAGAGTATTAACTAATCCAACAAATTGAAAAATTGTACTATAATTTCAGACTAATTACTCTGATAAAAATGCAATAGTAAGGTGAAATTCCTATATATATTTCTGAAATATAAATTTAAAAGTTACATTTAAAAGAAATTTTTTAAACATATTTTTCATTACATTGTACTCTCGTCGGTCCAAAAAGTAAATTATATTGTTTGCAATGATTATGAATACTTAATTTGGGCTACATTAAAACTGCTTACACATATTTTAGTTGGAAATTTATTTTTGACTTTTGGCCAAAGATCATGGTCTTCTGGCTCACAGTGCCATCCAATTCGAGAAATTAGCTGTGTTAGAACTTTGTTTCTTTACTAAACTAACTTCCAAAGTAGTTTCCGGGAATCGCTACAAACTGTTTTTTTTTGTAGTGTTACTCACTAAAATTTTTTTAAAACACGTAGCACACTATACTAAAAACTACAAAAAAAGTAGTGACTACACTAGTTTCAGACTCGTAGTGCGCTACTTAAGACCACTAGGGATTGATATGTTAAAAATAAAATATTCCTTTTAGAAAGCAGGGAACCAGAAAATAAACTTACAGAACAACTTACTTCTGAGAAATTACCTAAACATAATTATTATATTTAATGTTATTATAGTTATATCATAATTATTATAGGTATATTTCAGTAAAAATTCATTCTCGCAAATGTAATACGAAGGCTATTTTTTAACTAAGGGTCGTTTGAAAAGAAAAACCAAATGAAAGAAAATTTTCATGAAGCAAATTTATTTTTTGATTCTACATGCGTTTCTCTTTTTTTCAAAATCGTTGTCAACTTTGCTTAAACACTTATCATACCTTACAACTAGTTTAGAATAACCTCTTCATTGTAACTTGCCGCCTGCTTCGATATCCAAGAGGTTACGACCGTTTTCACGGCTTCATAATCGTTGTACTGGTTCCCTGCAAAACAATGTTTAGGACATCGGAAAAGATGAAAATCACTTATTAGCTCAAGGTCTGGGCTGATGAGGGGAGATCCAAAACTTCCCAGCTGAAAGAGCCAACAAAGCTCGGGACTGAGCTGTGGAGAGAGTTATTGTCATGGAGTAGCGAAATTTTCTGACAGTAGGAAGCTTCGTAAGCTTCAAAAATCTGTCGGTGAATGTATGCAGCGGACAGGTTTTTATGCCGATTAGAAAAGCATCACTGACTGTACCTCGTATTGGCGGGTGATTTGTTAAATTTGAACTTTTTAAAGACACAGAACTGACTGCACAGGATACATACACAACTGTAACTGAGCACAGTTGTTTCCAAGGAATGCCGAGACACGCCGCAAATACTCGTTGCGACGGAAGCGTCATCTATTAATGTACTCAACAAAATGGACCTTAATTAAAAGACAGACCTCGTATGTTATAAAAGGTCATATTCTTGTTATGTTCTTATCTATGTATTTTATTCTTCTTATATTCTTATCTATGTATTTTATTCTTGTTATATTATTAATATATAAACTGACAAACGATTGACATTAACCCATTTTGATCCAAGCGTAGACATTTTATAAACTGAGGTATTATTTTCAATGCTTGAATTTGTTAATAACCGTTTTAAGTTAATGAACAAGCATTGTTTAAAAATTTATCTACAGAAAGTATTTACTCTAATTAAATTACTAATATTTTATAGATATCTCCGAAGTCCTTGATGATAGCAGAAATGAAATTAATGAAAAATATACGTCACAGTGTAAACAAAATAGTGATTTAAATGGTGCGTTTTTAAGCACTTTTAGCCAAAAATGGGAAGAAAAAAAAAACAGATTGATAAAGGACTGCCTTCTCATACTCTAATGATTCTATAAATGATAAGTTCTTTTCGGAGCAGTTCCAAAATATATTTGTTCCTTTATTAGCTATCGAAATGGGCTACAGGTGGCACGGAGCTCTCTACTTATGCCAATACTTCACATACTTGCAAGTGGGGAGTCACAGGAGAATGAAGTACGTTAGTTTGTCTTGATTTTCAAATAGATTAAAAACTTTTAAGTTAGGAAAATATATGGAACTGAAAACTACAATGAGCATAGGTGTAAAAGAAGACATCGAGGAAATGTTAAAAAATATTTTTGACAAGAAAATGCGAAAAATATTATGAAAGGGAAAAATATCGTAGTACATTCCTATACAATTGAGAAGAGGAGGAGAGGGAAGTAGGAGGGTCAAGACATGGAACTGGTCTTATACCCAGATAGCATATTCAAGTGCTGCTATCACGAATTGCAGTTTAAGAGTTATTTCCTATATAAAATTTATTTTATTCCACTTTTCGATCATAACCTCTTAGCCACTGTAACGCGTCACTTTATGCAAGACAAATTCAAAAATAACAGGAAGTCGTTTGGAGCTTAGTCACTAGAAAACTACAATTTAAATCATATATCATAAATGCTTACTTCGGATAATGGAAAATAAATCTCGAGAGTTCATAAAAATTTTTTTCTTCATATTTTTGAAATAAAATTTGTAAAATAAGTTGATAAAAATTAAAAAAGAAATAAAGAAAGGACTATAACTAAATAATTTGATACCAGACAATTTCAAACTCTTATGGAATCATTTAAGTTAATCTTGTTTAGTACCTAGAGCTTAAAAAATATACTCCCATTTCAAAAAAAATTAAAAAAAAAACAATTTAAAAAAATTAATAATTCTCTCATATATTTATTAATATATTCCAAATGTTTTGAATTGCTAAAACTATTTTTTTAAAAAATTCTATGGATTAAAAAACCATTCAAATTATGAATAATATTTATTAAAATAAACAAACTGAAAAATTGACAAAAAATGACTGGTATATTTAAATTACTTTAAAGCAAACTCATTTCAAAAATCTTTTGAGATCATTAAAATTAATCTATTTCGAATAAGCCAACATTTTTTTTAATTCCACAAAACTACAGTTGCAACTTTTCCTGTTATTTTCAGATAATCTTCTATAATTACAGTGTTGCCCAGGGAACGCCAGACGAGGAGGCGAGGTTATATTATTTTGACTGCTAGTTTTTTAAATGCAACAATTTCAGGAAAAATTGATGAAACAATAGTATAAAGAAATAAAACTGCTGTATCGAAATTGAAAAATTACAAAAATTTCTTTTGTTTTATATGTCTCTTATAAAGAATTGAAAATATCAAAAATTAAAACACGTAAAAAATAAGATTATAATTTAATTGAAGAATTAAGAAAAGTTCTTTTGTTCGAGACGCGTCTTTTACGAAGAATTAAAGAAATACAATCATGATCTATTAAATATTATTGCGTATATTACTGAAACAAACCGAAAAAATATTGGCATTTTCTCAAGGAAAACAAAATGCTCTTAGTTAAACTAAAAAGTTAATCGTTAGTTAGCGTACTAAACTAAAATGGTCTTTATAATTCAAATGAATAATTTTTTTTTTATGTATTTAGCAGTCAAAATAGTTCCCCAAAGGAGCTACCACATTCTACTATTTCATTCCAGTTGTTGACTTTGTGACAGCCCCCCGAGGAGTAGATAAAAATCGCTGAATCCATGTATCCCAAGAAAACATTTAAAATTCGGAACAGAACTGAGAATTCTATCCAATAGAAAAATATTAATTGGAATATGCACATAAGTGCAACTCTACATACGAAATTTCAACATCCAAATACCAAATAAAGCTTAGACATTTTATGTAATAATAAGCAGCTAATAAGCCAACATATCTTAAAAGCTAATAAACCAAAACACATGTGATATAAATTTTGCTTAATGTACTACAGTAATAATGAAAAAATCTAAATTAACTACGGTTTTTCTGATTGAAGCTTAAAATTTTGATACCAAAGAGGTCAAACAATCTTTCCATTAGGAGAATCTCAGTTCCTAATTCAGAATAGAAATGATCACGTGAGAAGAACAAAATCAACGGTTCAAACTTCTACTCCTCTGCACAATCTAACCAAAGTGGAATAACAATTCTGAAATATCATTTCAGTTGTTTTGTTGTCTTCATCTTAGTGATAAAAAGCATTTTTAACATTTTATATAAGAAGCTGAAGCCATTGTATGGAGTGGGCCAGCGAATAATTTCAATCAAATTAGTAATTGAAACAAACAATAAAAAATTATTTTTCAAGTAATTAAATATCAATCAAGTATTCAAAGTCTTTGCACATACGGGTTTCAAAGTTATAGTTTTTACACAATTAGTTTTTTTTAGTTCTTTTAATCCAGTAATAGGTAATACGACATTTTCTGTGCTACTACTTTTACGCTTTATCATTTTTTAATTATTGCATTTTAACAAATAGAAAATTGGTAATCGAAATGAGTTGTAAGTGGCGTAAAGCAGAACTCTCTACCTATGGTAATACTTTTGCATGCTTTCACCATTAGCTTGTGGAGAGTCATAGAAGAGGGTGGTACGTTAGTTTCAGTCTTGATTTTCATGTAGATTAAAATATTTTAAGTTGGAAAACTATATGAATCTGAAAACTACATTAAACACATTTCTAAAAGAAAGTATCATATAAATTTTCAAAAATATTTTTATTAATTAAAAATGAGAAATATTAAGAAAAGGAAAAATATCATAGTACATTACTATACAACTGAATAGAGGAGGAGAGGGAAGGAAGAAGGGCCGAAGGCGTGGAACCTGTCTTCTTCCCAGATGGCGTATTCAAGCGTTGCTATCACCTATATTAAAATGACTTTTACGAAAGAATTTGAGAAGCAAAATATTTAGATTTTTTAACAATTAATGAATTTTATTTTAGTTTTCTTCAAACTGACATTTGCCACTCTCAATTTTTCTCCAACCCTGTTAGAAAAAGTGCATTTTAAATTTTAGCAATGATTATAAATTCTTCATTTGAAATAAATCTTTTTCTCTTCCAGCCGAGAAGAGTACTGTTAAAAAAAATCATTAGTTTGAAATTTAAGCATTGAAATATTATTGTAAATAATAAATTATCTATTTTTTCTGTAGACCATCTTATTTTATATTCAATTTTCATCCAGACTGCTTTCGTTCCTTTAAATAAATTTTAGTGTGAAATTTAAGCCGTGAAATATTAGAAAGTAATTATTGAAAATGAACAGTTTATTTCTCCAGGCCCAATTTTTTCCATTTTCCAATTTTTTACAGACTGTAGGTAATCTGAAGAAAAAAGTATTAGTTTTGAATTGAAGAAATGAAAAATTATGAATGGTTAGTTGAAAATGAGGAACTTTCTGTTTTCTCCAGAACGTGGTAATTCTGAAAGAAAAAAGCATGTACGTAAAATTGAGGAAACTAAATATTTTGAAATGTTAATTTAGAATGAAGAACATTCTATTTTTCTCCAGACCATGGGAAATCTGAAACAAAAACTCATATATATGAAATTGAGGAAAATAAATATTATGAAATGTTCATTTCGAATGAAGAACTTTCTATTTTTCCCCAGATCATGGGATATCTAAAGAAAAAGGTATCAATTTGAAATTGAAAAAATGGAAAATTATGAATTCTTTTCAGCAAATGAAAGATTATCTGTTCTTTTCCAGACTTTCTTCTAACATTTCCTTCCACCAGACCAAGCTGATCCTAATAAAAAAATATTTTTGGTTTCAAATAAAAACAAAACAAAACATATATCATGTTCAGATTTTTTTGATAAGAAATGATAGTAAATACAGTTATATTTCTTTTTGTCTAATCTTCATTGATATACTTAATTTATTATGTTCTTGTTTAAAGAATAGTGAATGTTGCAAAATATTGATATTTTTCGAATAATAACTGTAAATCTTAATATTAATTTATTCTTGATAGATAATTAAATAAAGTGAAATAGTGACTTAATACTGTATTTGCAGAAAAATTACTATTAAAGATATTTTTAGTTAATTTTTAAGAATTTGAAAAATGGTGGTTTAAATTTAAAAATAAAATTTTTTAATAATAGGAAATTTAAAAAAAATGAACGGTAAATTTCTCAATAATTTTTTTCTTCAATTCTTTATCTTTTTGAAAAACATTTAGAAGAAAAATATTAAAAAGCACTGAGGCACAAGGGTAGAATGCAAAAAAAAAAAAAAATTAAATCACGTTAATATTCGAGAAACTATCTGAAAGTCGGATTTAAAAAAAGGTTATATTAATATCTAAACGCTGGTTACGATCATTTTTTTAAAAAAGGTTATCACTCAAAAATGATTGTTATTAATTTATAAACCTCCCCACTATGATGAGTTTGCGTCATTCGTAAAGGTCAAGATCAAAACCAATATTTCGGGTTCCCTTCCTAAATCCCGAACAGGATTAGGTCCATAATGAAATTTCGGGTATCTTCCTGGATCCCAAGCCAGACAAGGTCCATAATGAAATTTTGGGTTTCTTCTTGGATCCCAAGCCAGACATGGTCCATAATGGAATTTAGGGTTTCTTTTTGGATCCCAAGCCAGACATGTTCCATAATGAAATTTAGGGTTTCTTTTTGGATCCCACGCCAGACAAGGTCCAAAATGAAATTTGGGGTTTCTTCTTGGATCCCAAGCCAGACATGGTCCAAATGAAATTTAGGGTTTCTTTTTGGATCCCAAGCCAGACATGGTCCAAATGAAATTTAGGGTTTCTTTTTGGATCCCAAGCCTGACATGTTCCATAAAGAAATTTCTATTTCTCTGTTGGATCACGCTCTAAAGAAAGTCAAAATAAAGTTTTGGAATTTTTCCTTGGATCCCGAAGCAGTCAAATTCAAAGATATTGGTCCATAATTGAAATAAATGAAACTAATTACTGAGAAAACTATTTTGTTCCTTTATCTTTACTAAGATTTTTTGTTGTTGTTTTTAAGCATAATTTAAAGATAACAATTTTTAAATTTTAGTAGAAATTCATCTCTAGTACGACAGTCAAAAGATTATTTATAGTTTAATAAATGATTTTATATCGCAATTAAAAAAAACCCAGATATTTCATAATCTTAAAAAATTGTTTCTTTTTGACGTGTCTGTTAGGACAAAATTTTTGATAATTACTCTTAAACTTTCATACTTTCATTATTAATGAGGTTATTCAAATATTTATCCGTTAAAAGAAGAGTTCTTTTTTAATCGTGAAATAGAATAATTTTAATTTTATATATTAAGNAAAGATAACAATTTTTAAATTTTAGTAGAAATTCATCTCTAGTACGACAGTCAAAAGATTATTTATAGTTTAATAAATGATTTTATATCGCAATTAAAAAAACCCCAGATATTTCATAATATTAAAAAATTGCTTCTTTTTGACATGTCTGTTAGGACAAAATTCTTGATAATTACTCTTAAACTTTCATACTTTCATTATTAATGAGGTTATTGAAATATTTATCCGTTAAAAGTAGAGTTCTTTTTTAATCGTGAAATAGAATAATTTTAATTTTATGTATTAAGAAAGGAAAATTTATGTCTCAGAATAATATGAAATATCTGGGAACTGTCCCTTTCGGGATAAAATATTTTGTTATTGACCCTAACTGAAAGAATGAAGCCTTGGTTGGGCTCGTGGATCAAACTTATCTGATTTGTTTTGCATAAGCTGTTTGGTCACCATGGGAAATGACTGGCTGCGTTCAAAGTCATGCTACAAATAACAACAAAGGAAAAACACTTTAAGTAAACAAATTACTCCCAATATAGCTAAACGAATTTTTATAAACAAATATTTACCAACTAAATGTTTGAAATAAAGTCTAGAAAATATCTGTGTAATATCTAGTAAAAATAAATTATTTTTCAAATTGCTTAAAACATAATCAAATTTAGAGTTCATCGCTATTAAATATTTATATTACCTAAAGGGCTCTAACTTAATTTGATCTTACATTAATTGGGTGTCACTCATTAAAAAGACCTTTGATTGCATATAGTAGTTAAAACACTGAGCTGTAATCATGGCAGACTGAGATTCTGCCCCCCTTGTCGCTCCAGCTCTAGATCGAGTGCTAACATCGTGTTTGAGACATGAAAGCGGCCAGAGAGAAATATTGATCCTATTTCCACTATTATATCATTGGTTTCGAAATTAAACTAAACTAGCTGCCATGTCCACCTTGGAAGCAACTATTGACTGTGTGAATGCTTCATTTTTCGCAAGTGATAAAGTTTATCTGCTTAACAAGTTTTAAAAATATCCACATACATAATACTTAAAAAACACTAAATAAAATATTTTCAGATTTGACTTATTGACAAACGTGACTATTTAATCCACGAAACAGGAACGCAGAAGTTTTCGAAAAGTAAATAATAATTGTAGTTTTTGTCAAGTGTGAAGAATGTATTTTTCGGTATGTTTTATGACACTGAGATCATCTCTGCTGACAAGCCATCTAATCAGATGCTAGAGTGTCGTGGTGTATTACTCCTAATATTACACTCCTCTTTTGTTCACTTTCAATGTTCCCTTATTTGCATTTAAGGGGATATAATTATAGACTATGTTTACCTTTATCTATCAAAAGGTACATCAAGATTGAATCAAGTTAACATGTCTTATATATTAGGGTACTGGTATTTACTTTTTGTGGTGCTGGTTACGCATTACTCTCCTTCCAGAATTTTATCTTTGTTTGCATTCGATGACTGAATACCCCCAGCTGATTTATGCTGTTTATTTATTTACTCGTTATTTACTTATTTCGCTCATTATTTTTTCCCTTTATTGGCCGGGAGAATCGTATTTACTTCATTTGATATTTAAGCGCTATTTTGTAAGTAAATCAACTGTTTAACGCGGAGCATTCATCAATTTTGACGAGTTCATAATCCGTCCGGAGGTCACGATTATATAATAAATATCAAAAGGTACCTCAAGATTGAGTCAAGTTATAATATCTTATCTACTAGTGTATTGATATTTATTTTTTGTAGTGGTAGTTAAGGCCACACAATTACCTGTCTCAGAACGTAGAAACTGTGTCTCCAAGCGCGATGTATGGATCTCTTATAGCCGTAGGGTGATGTGCAGATATCGTCTACGGCAGTGAAAACGATAGGAGCAGCAGGCCCTCCATCAGAGTCAACCATCTCGGGCAGGCTACTGAATACCTCCTCAATCAAGGGAATGCTCTCTTCCTTGAATTTCTTGGAAACTTGCTTGAGTTTCCTTCTGAGTATCCTGAAAATAAAATAAAAGCAAACAAATGGTTTAAGTATAACAGCTTAGAAATTCTTTTTCAATTGAAGCCTTGTAGCAAAGCCATGGATGATTATTAAAGAAAAAATATAATGCACCGGTGAACAAATAACATGATTTTCAATGTTCATTCCTTTGCACCAAATAAGTAACAAATTCGACAGATAGAATGATGCGAAAAAAATGCTCTTAAATGGAATGCTTCATTACTGTTAGCAAACGTGGAACATTCCCATGAAGTAGACAGTTATAAATATAGTGTTTGTATGAACAGTAATGCCAAATGCCTTGCAAAATATGAAGTTATCTTAAAACAAAGCATAATATGATTGCTATTAATAAATTTAAAATGGGAAATTTATAATAATAATTATAGAAAAAATTTAAAACTAGTACCATATGCATTGACAAACTAGATAAAGATAGTAAAGAGGGGGGGGGGGAGGTAAAATTTTTTTATAGTTAAAAAATTATCTAATGATGTGATACTAACATAAGATATGAAGTATTTCTTTTAAAAGGGCAACTGAAAAAATATTATTTAATTTTAAATTATTTTAACAATTAAATTGAATTTATTATTTTAACGACTAATACCATTTTTTAAAATTTAATGTTGAGCGAAATATTTTATTTTCCTGAATCAAACAAAATCCAAAATCTAATATATAACTATTACATACCGAAATCCTTTCAATGTGTTCAAAATCTTGAATCAAAATCTTTGAATCAAATTTCATTAAAAAATTAAGATAATAACTCGAATAAGAAAGTGACTTATCATTTAACAAAAATAAACCCAAGTAAAATTGAACTATGAAACGAGGTGAACGAAGAGATCCAGAGTTGAGAGTTATATTCAAACTCAACACATGAAGGTTAAATAGTTCATTTAATTCAACAAGAAGTCATCAAGTTAAAGAGTTCATTTTATTTCCATGAGATCTTCAGGATATTCTGAGATAATGAACGTGGAACTCGAAAAATGATGAAGTTCAAAAAAATTCAAAGATCTTACAGTAAGTCCGACGTGAAAAACAAAACGTGAAAAAGAGAAGTTTGAGGGTCAATGCTTACTGACGGACATGGGGTTAACTAAAACACAACAAGACAACATTTCACACGCATAACACCTAACTCGCCTCCAAAAAAGACAGTAAACTCAAATGCATCTCCAAAGTGAATAAGTTGCTAATTCTGCATTATTTACGGAAACGATAATGTTCCATACTGAATCACCATCGAGTGAAATTATTTTCTTACACTATAGCCATACTTAATAAAGCGTTGGTTGTAAACATCTTGTAAAAGCACGAACTATTTTTCGTAATGGCCCTAACTGTGTGGTGATTAGAACAGTAACATAATACATATTTTTTTCATCAATGAGAATTATCACGTCCAGTGTCGATTTCGAATTATAATGTTTTTAACTATTGACATTACAAGTAAAATGATGTTTATAAAATCATAATATGTATTTACGCAGGCATGAAAAAAAAAACTAGATAAAGCGAACCAATGAATTTTATTTCTTCAAGGAAAAGTGTCTACGCTGAATATTTATTTAAAAGTTTCAGTTTTCATTATTCTAAGCAGGTCGATATTATAAAATTAATTGTGAGTGGCGAGATTTCTTGAATTGGTTTCAAAATTTTCTGAGTTCTCGAGAAATGAATTATACTCGATTTTCTCGTTTATACCCAAAATTAAATTTTAGAAGCAAAAAAATCATAAAATTAATTAATATTATTATGGTTTAGTTGAAAATTTTATGCGGTGAATGAAACTAGTTAAAATATACATATTAGATTATTTAAAATCAACTCTTAAAGCATGCTAATTTATATATTAGTTAATTATTATGGTATATTATTATTAATTATGCATTTGCAATTGCTAATGCTCATTATGTATTTATAAATTATGTGTCAATTTCTTTTAGAAAGCGTAGATGTACCAAAATCTTTCTCGTACTGAAATTTAACATGGTATAAATAAATTTCAAAAATGTTTATTAAACAATTTTATGAATTAAAAGTTCAAAATAATCTATCAAAACTTACAATTTCTTCAGAAATGTGAACATCCTGTTAAGTTTGTTCAGTAAGATGCTAAATTAATATTTAAGCAAGCAAATGAATATCACAATCATATATTTTTTTAAATATTTTTCGAACGTGATGACGTCAGAGCTATCATTAATACCTAATAGCACTAGGATTAAAAATTAGCTTATAGCTCGGATGGATCTCAGAAGAACTTAAAGCATGTTTACATGTTTTCTAAAGTTATTATTTTTATTCCCATCAGAAAAATAAATTTTAATCATTTTTTTAATATATATGTAAAATTTATAAACTATAACTTATTTTTTAAAGATTTTTTTTTGATAGTGGACGACAACTTTATGATTGTAATTTCATTTGGGTAACTTTATGTAAATCAACTCTAGCTTTACGCTCAAACCATAGTAACCTGTATCGCCAAAGTTAATGCTGCATTACTTACAGAAATGATAATGAGTTCAATTATAAGTCACCATCAAGTCAAGTTATTTTCTTACACTATAGCCAATATATTGCTGGTTTGAATCTCTCGTAATAGCACAAAATATTTTTCGAAATGGCACAAACTATGTTGTAATTTCAACAGTAACATATACATAACTTTTTTCATTGAGAATCATGAAATTTAGTGCCGATTTGAAATTATAATGTCTTTAATTATTAACATTACAAGTAAGATAAGGTTTATTAAATCATAACATCTAATTACACATGCATGAAAAAAAACTAGATTAAGCGAACCGATGATTTTTATTTCGTCAGATAAAACAGTTCACGCGTAATATTTATTTAAATGTTTAAGTTTTCGTTAACCTGTGCAGGCCGATACTATAAAATTATTTGCGAGTTGTGTGGTGAGATATGACGAATTGCCTTTAAAATCTCGAAAAATGAGTTATACTTGATTTTCTCGTTAATATGGGTGATTCTTTCTAAACATGACAATTCGAACCAAAAAATTTCTTCAAATTTAAAGTCTTTAAAAAATTCTAAATTTTTTTTTGTATGCTTGCGTAGTTGTGAAGTTTATTGACATTTGCTCGAGAAAAAAAAAAGAAAAAAATAGAAATTCACCAAATCTTGAATGCCGGGAAAATAACATATTAGCTAAGAAGTTTAAAAAACAGTAATTTAAGTTATAAGTAAGTAAATCAACTTAAGCTTTTATGTTAGATGGACCATAAATTGCTTAAATTCATTCTTTTTATCCACTGTAGAAAGTATCAAAATTTTTTTTGTTGCTGATATCTACAGAATAAAATTGTGTATAGTAATCAATCATTAAATAAATAAATAACTTTGATTACTTCCAACCATATTACAATCATACATAAACTTGGTATTATGTTTATATTTGCTTTTCCTCCTTTCAGTGTTCGCAGTTAAAAAATTTTTTTGGTAACACTTCAATGTCCTGGAATTCATAAGCCAGGAAAATGACAGCCAGGATTATGACAAATTCGCCATTTTATAGCATATAGCTTCACTTTAATTTAATATCTCGGCCTAAGACGTTTACATTCTGCAGAAAACAACAGGATTTCTTAAAATAACTCAGATAAATCTATGTAGTTTATGTTATTAATGATTTCAAGAAACCATAAAAATGACAACACAAAAAAAGCCTACTCATCTTGAAAAATTTTTTGAAACAGATTTTGAACCAGAAAATTGGATCTTTATTCATGCAACAAGACATGTTCATATAGGAGGTTATCTAATCAATCTATTAGCATAAGAAACTGATTGCTGACTCCATCGATTTTGGTTATAAACCACTAAATAAAAGTAACCAGGAAAATGACAGATTTTCTTGGGACAATCAAGTTACTGACTGAATTTTTTTTAAACGAAGTTTTTGTAAGTAATATCCTCTACGTATATTCTGGAAATGCTTACACCGGTTGAAATAAAAAAAAAATTAGATATTGAAAAATTTATGAGAAGTTTTGAAGCTAGTTATTATTGGAAATACCAGTTTGGGACATGCCAGGAAAATGACATTTTGAAGTTCAATTAAATTTCTTAACTATACAAAACAGTCAATGCTAGTGCGAAGTCATTTTAAAATGCTAACAGCAATGCAATTTATTATTATTTTTTAAAAAAAAGTTCTTTTAGTATTATAGTATTAGATCTTGGAGCAAGGGACAGTAAATTGTCATATTTCGAGAGAATCACCCATATACTAATTAAATTTTAGACGCTAGGTCAATGTTGCACGGCTTATTTCAAAATTTAATGCAATGAAAGAAGTTAGTCTAAGAATTAGTATACGGAAAATATATATATAAGAATGTTTAAAATCAACTCTTAATGTATGCTGATTTAAGCATAACACAATTTCTTTTAAAAAGTGGAGATATACTAATGTCTTGCTCATACTAGAAGTACTTAACATGCTACAAATAAATCTTGAAAATGAATGTTATTACATTATTTTATGAATTAAAAGTCTACAAAAATTCATCAAAACTTACAATTTCTTCAGAAGTTTAAACATCCTGGTAAGTTTTTGTAAAAATGCTAAATTATTTTTTAAGCAAATGAATATCGCAATCAAATGTTTTTTTCTCCAATATTTTTAGAACGTGATGACGTCAGAGCTAACAATAATACCCAATAGCACTGGGAATAAAAATTAGCTTATAGCTTGGATAGATCTAAGAAGAACTTAAAGCTTGTTTTAATTTTTTCTAGACATATTTTTTTTGTACCCATCAGAAAAATACGTTTTAATCATTTTTTAATATGTATGTAAAATGTATTAACTGTAACATCAAAGTGGGGCGAATTGAAACGACGGACAGTTTGATTTATTTCTAAGCAAGCACAAATTTAAATCTTATTTTTTAAAAAGGTTTTTGATTGATCGCGAAAGACAACTTCGTTTGTAATAATAATTTAACAAGAGCTATACCAGCCACTTGATTGTGGGATATTTTTCTTAGCTAAATAATGAGTAATATAAAAAAAAAGATTAAAAAACCAGTTATTTGATAAATTGCTTTGATTAAAAATTATCTGATGATGTGATACTAAGATTAGGATATGAAGTAAATTTTTGAAATGGACAACTGAAAAAGCATTTTTTAATTTAAAATTATTTTAACAATTAATTAACAAGTAAATTAAATTCACTATTTTGATAATTAATGCCATTTTTTTAAAATACTGAATCACCATCAAGTGAAGTTATTTCCTTACACTATAGCCATACTTAATATAG